GGGTCAGGAGAGGTCTGCCATGCTATGTGTATCTCCTTCAGGGCAGGCAGGAATCGAACTCAGGCGGAAGTGGCTTTAGCTTCTTATTGCTGTGCTTTAACCCGCTGAGCCACCAGGGAGGGCCCATGGTATATGAATTTTAATAAACATAAGTTAATATATGCCTAAGAATCTTTGCTTTTAAAGATTTTTTTCACATTTTAATTTTCTGAAGCTTGAATAACTCTTAGATTTGCTTTAAAGTGGTTTTATTCCCCTTTCCTGAAAGTCTTTTATTATTTCCCCCTGAAAAAGCCTTATTAGATTGATAACATATCACAATACATAAAATGCTAATTGAATTTTGTTAATGTGAAGTTTCTTAGATTTGTTATAAAAATAGGTGGGCTAGATTCTCCTGAGAAATTAGTTTTATAGTTACTTTGAAAGTAATATCAATACTTTTAGACTATTAAGTATTTACTTAATATTCTCTCTAAAAGGCATTTCAGCAATATTTCATTTGTTTCTGGGAGTATGCATGTTTGTATTTTACATTTCTTTAGCGTATGTACAGATTATATATGTACTTTAATAATGTGTCTTTTTTTAAAGGTTCGATCTTTATGGGCTTCAGTGAATGAAACACTTGTGTTTTTGGAAAAAGAGAGAGAAGTCATTAGTTCAGTCCTTAGTCTAGCTAACAATTATGCTTTAGATGGAACTAATGTTACTGTTAACATTCCAAGGCTTTTACTTGATCAAGTTGAGAAACAACTGTCTCAGGTAAGCATTTAATAATAAGGAAACTTTTGAGAAACTCCTTTTATGTAATTATTTTAGGCATCACACATTTTCTTACTCTTTGTATTTTCAGAATGTTTTGAGTATATGAAATAAAACTTTAATAAAAAAAGGGTATTGTACTGTCAAGAGTATGTTTATTTCATCAACATTTATTGTCAGGATCTTTACAGTTTTACAGCATATGCTATAGAGAGTAGACAGTTTCTTAGTAGGAAGATGGACCCATTCTAGTTCTTCATACATTCTCAGAGAGCAACCATGGCCTAATTGCTAAATGTCCTTTAAAAAAAAATCTCTTGTTTTAAAATCTTATTAGCTTTTGTTACCTTAATGTGTTTGCTTTCTTGTGGTTTTTCAGTTCACACTTTTTCCAATTGTTCTCTTTTCTCTAACTTTTAGATGGAA